GCACTAGTGAAAAATACGTGTTTCAAATCAGGCGCTAACAGAGCCATCTAAGGGCAGACATTTAACAAAAAAGTATAGAAAATAGGCACAGCATTTTCCCCATTTTTTGTTCATTTTCCCCGGCGGCAATGGGTTAAACATGGCAAGGAGTCTCTTAGTATGCTGTTCTGTCTAACGAAGGTGCTCTAGCCTAGATTGATATGTCGCTTAATTTCCTCTGTACAAGTTACCCTAGGTATATATACTTGTCCACTACCTCTAGCAGTTCACCATGTACATGTATCTGTTCAAATTGAACTCTACTGTTGAACATGATCTTAGTCTTTATTTTGTTCTTCCTTAGTCCAACTTACTCTTCAGATCCTTTATTAGTTGCTGCATTTTATTTGTAAATTCACTGAAGAGAACAACATCATCTGCAAATCTTAGATTATTTAGGTAATCGTCTCCATTTTTGATACCCTTTCTGTTCCATTCTAGCTTCTGGAATATTTCCTTGAGGCAAGCTGTTTTGGTGAGATGGTATCATACCTTTTTTAATTGGTATTTTATCGGTTTCCATGTGGAGCTTGATGGTTGCTCTCCCATCTTTGTAAATATTTTACAATATACCTCCTCTACTCCATCTTCGAATAACTTTTAGTACTGCTGATATTTGTACAGATTCCAATGCCTATATATGTTTATTTTTTCTATTTTCTGGGTGAGTGTGTGGATGTGGTCTGTTGTTGATAATCCACTGCAGAAGCCTCCCTGTCTGTTCTCTAGGCTGATTACAATCCAGGCTGTCAGAGATGCGAGGTATGATGACTTTTGTGAACAGTTTGTAAGTAACTGAAAGGATGCTTATGGATTGCCAATTTTTAAAATCCTTTCTATCCCCTTTTTCATGTGTCAAAATAATTTTAGCATTTTTCCAGGTTTTCAGAGTTTTTTCTGTTGAGAAGACATTTGTTTAAAAGATTGGCTAATTTCACAGTTGCAATTTCTCCTGCATCTATAATAAGGTCTATACTAATTCCATCTCCACCTGTTATTTTACCTCTCTTCATGCCTATAAGCACTTTTTTTAGTTCTGTTGTAATGTTAGGTACGTCTCTAGTTCCTGCGTTCGCTTCTATTTGTGGCTGTTCATTTGAGTTGTGTAGATCCCTGTAAAAGTCTTCCACTACTCTTATTATATGTCACTTCTCATTCTAGTTTCTCTTTTGCATACATTTGACTTCTCCCTATTCCGAGTCTCCTTTTAGCTGTTTTCATGCTGGTACTAGTGATCTCAGATCACTGTTTTATTTTTATTTGAGTATTGTATTCTGTACATCTTCTCTCTTCTTTTTATTTATAGACTGTTAGTTGATCTAATTCTATTTTGTCCCTGTTTGATGATAGTTTCATGGCCCTACGTTTTTGCATAAGCTGTTTAGTTTCTACCAAGCTTTGCTTGATGTTCTTACTGCCTACTTCAAGTGCAGCTTCTATTATTATGTCATTGAACTGTTTTTTGATTTGGTCATTGTTGAGATCTTTGTCACTGAGAAGTAAATATCTGTTTTGGAGGTTAAGGTTAAATTCTCTCACTCTGGTACACAGGACCAACCCTCAGACTAGGCCAAGGATGCAGAATTTAGATGCGAGTCCAAAAGTTTCATGGCAGGATACTTAATTAAGAACACGTTTGTAACATGAACGTAGTCGAGTGCTGTTGCCTTTTACAACAGTCACACTAAGAGGACTTAGCTGAGTTATTTATAGCTACAAAATTAGACATGGTAACCCAAATTTTCAGAGTTAAAAAGTTTATAGAGTAGATGAATAATGACAAACACTATTTTTTAGATCTTATAAGGTTTGTATTACCAATCTGAACTCTGATCTCATTTGATTTATATGAAAAATATACAGAATATGGCCTATGTACATTTTACATTATCGGTGCTGTCAGGCTTTAATTATTTCCTTGGCACTAGACAGTTCAAAATCTAAAGACAAATAAGTATACAACAAAAGGTCTGTGGGGATTCTTAATGACATGAAAGGGACTATAATGTTGATTTAATAATAATGTCAAATATCTATTTTACATAACTATATTGTGTAGGAATTGTCCTACAGATACACAAAGAATGTAAGATATGCAGCAGGAAAACAAAATATGATTCTATGATGTTCCATATTACTTGTGGTCTATCAACCATCGGTTTATTTTAACAAGAACAGGAATGTATCAGGAAAACTAATTATTGGATTAAAATCTTCTGAAATCTATATGTCTGGAGTTAAAAAATTGCTTTACTCACTTTTCTGTAAAATAAAACATTATTAATATTTTCCAAGAATAATATTAATATCAATTATTTAATTATACTACCTACTATTTGACAGACACTTACAGCTAAAAAGTGTTTTATTTATTTGCAAAATAAATAATTCAACTATAGCCTATAGAAAGATGTAATATTACCTGCTTTTGCTATAATAATTAGGTCAAGTAAACAATATATTTCTGAAAGCAAAAAAATTCAACATGTTTATTTACAGAAGCACAGTGGCCACAGTCAAAGACTATTCAACTTGAAATAGTATACAAATGTGTGTACACTTATATGTATATGAAATATACACACACACACACACACATACATGTCTATAATACTATGACATCAAATTCTCTCAAAACAAAAGATAAGTTTCAAGCTTTTTCTTCCAAACATGGCTCTGGAACTGAAACTAAAGATCTAAAGAAATAACTCTTCCCAAAGATGAAGCGGAAGTGTCTCAGCAGCAAAACCAACAAAACAAAGTAGACAAATAAAAATTGAAGAATGGCAACATGAAACATGAAGTATTTCAGTATATATAGAAATACTAAATTTCAAATAAGTGCACTATAAACACTTCTCAAGGTCTTGTGCTATTAGTAGCACTTGAAAATTTAAGTAATTACATTTGTGCTGGGGTGATGAACATCCATGAAACAATTTTGTGGGCTAAGTGTTTTTTTTATCCTTCATCTTTTAATGTATCCCCTGTCTATTTTGCTTATTCGCATGAAAAATCTTATCTCATGAATATATATCACATGATTTCCTGATTTACAAGGTTTGACAGTTTCAAAGACTGGGTCATATATTCTTCATTTCAATATACAGCCTTACATTTTTTTTCATGTTCTTAACAGAATGACAAAAATAATGGATGTAAAAATCAATTTTTCTTAAAACTGTATGTCACAATAAAAATATCCAAAGTCAGTCAGATCCACTATAGCTTCTATTTCTTTAAGGATGCATAACAATCCTCCTCCTGTATAACTACTATGAGGTTAAAATTTGGTCTTTGTTGACAGAAATATATTTCTGTGCACAGTGAACTCCACTATTGGATCATGACTTTAGGTTAGAGTATAAAATAAAATTTCAAAGACTATATCTTAAACATTTGTTAATGACAAAGTGCTCTACTGTGACCGAAGAAATGAAACCATATTTATGATGGATTAATAAAAAAAAACAAGGACCCAGTCTTTAATACATATCAAGTTAGCTTTGCAGTGGTACACACCTCACAGAACAATGAACACTGAACAAAAAATACTTATATAAGTATCAAAGGACTTGATAAATCCTCATACAGACACATACAGTAACCCCAACAGCAGAAATAATAATGAAAATATAATAATCAAACAGTTTTATTTGAAAGTTCAGATGACAATATCATATCAGATTTGATTTTACATTGTTATTTGAGGAGGAAGAGGTAGTATTCTTCCAAACTTGACAAAGATATCTAGTTTCAATTTAAAACTGCCATCTTGTCTTCCCACTGGACTGTTTAATTTAGCTTTTCCATCATATAATGTATAAATATGTGTGTATGTGAACCTGTGGGTATGGTTATCTATTCATTTATATATTTCTTGATTGATTTATTTGTTTTTTTTCTATTCATTATTTATCTATGTATTTATTTTCAGATTCAAAGTTGATGAAATAGATTAATAGATATATAATAAACTATTAGCCTATTTCAGTTGCTAAGTATTTTATCTATAAATCATTATCTTTTATACAACACACTGCTGTTTGCATTTCTGAGAAGCAAACTTGTATAATCTTATCATAAGCTTACTTTATCAACAAACTTCTTGTTAATCAAAACACTATCTGTTAACTCCAATTATTTGAACTGGTTGGAGAGAGCCACATTTATGAACAACTTTTCATCAATTACTCAACCAAATTTTAGCAGTTGCATCTATATAACAATTATATATATTAGAGCTGACTAAATGGAAGAGAACTAGGCTACTGAATTAAAATGCAAATTAATATATAAATTGTGATAAGGCACTATTGTGTTTCCACTGTCCTGATGAATAGTATTTGTTTATCCAAGAGACCAACAAAAGCATTTCAATGACCTGTTTGTGTGTTACAAAATGCATTTCTATTCCAAGAAAGCAATAATAGCCTGACTTTTTTCTTTAACTGCATAACATATTTATCACATCAGTGGAAGTACATACTTAAGAATTTAGAATTTTTCCATTAGCATGCCCTTGGTAACTGAAATAGTATGACCTGTTATATCTAAATACCTAAATTAATTGGTAAAATTTACATCAGTGATATTCTTTTTTTTCTTTATATATAATATATATTCTAATCTCTTCAAAAAGTAATGCCAAAGCTACACTAATCTACTCTCCAGGTGCAGTGTTAATGAAATGGGTATTTTATAATGCTCTAAGGGCATTACCTGAATCAAGGCCACTAGCTAAAAGTATGCATATGCTTTAGTCTCAGTAAAGCAAAATTCTGTTTTTTGGTATTTTTATAATTGTATTAAGTATGGAAACATACCAATCATGTGACTATTTTTCTTACATCTAATAGATAATAAATATATAGCTTGTCTTTTCAAATGCAAAACAAAATTTACATTGTTTATCATATCATATACATTTGGTCCCCTTTGCTACCACTAAAAAACTGTAT